TAAATTCATCTGGTCTTGATGCTTTTTTCTTAGGAAGCTTATTTATGGCCTATTGAATTTCTTTTTCTAAACTAGGTTTATTTAGATATTCTATTTCCTCTTCCGTTAATCTAGTCAGTTTATATTTTTGTAAATATTCCTCCATTTTACTTAAATTATTAAACTTATTGGCATATACGTGGGCAAAACAACACCTAATAATTGCCTTGATTTCATCTTTATTAGTGATACATTAACCCTTTTCATTTTTGATATTAGTAATTTGGTTTTCTCTCTTTTTAAAAATCATATTAACCAATGATTTGTCTACTTTACTGGATTTTGCATAAAACCAACTTCTAGTTTTATTCATCAATTCAATGGTTTCTTTACATTCAATTTTATTAATCTCACCTTTAATTTTTAGAATTTCCAATTTGGTGTTTAATTAGGGATTTTAATTTTTTTAGTTTTTTTAATTGTCTATCCAATTCATTGGCCGGCTCTTTCTCTATTTTATTTACATAGACTTTGAGAAATACAAATTTTCTCTGAGTATTACTTTTGCTGTATCCCATAGGTTTTGACATATTGTTTCATTATTATCATTCTCTTTAATAAAATTATTGTTTCTATGACATGTTCTTTAACCGACTCATTTTCTAAGATTAGGCCATTTAGTCTCCAATTCATTCTTTTTCTGTTTTCATGGTCTCTTATTAAATATAATTTTATTGCATTGTTATCTAAAAAGAATATATTTAATATTTCTGCTTTTCTGCATTTAACTATAAAGTTTTTATGCCCTAATATGTAGTCAATTTTTGTAAAGGTATCATATACCACTGAGAAAAAGGTGTATTCCTTCCTATTCCCATTCAATTCTCTCCAGATAGCTATTTAGCTTATTTAAGATTCTATTCATCTCCTTGACTTCTTTCTTATTTATTTTTTTTGCTTAGATTTATCTAGTTCTGAGAGGGGAAGATTAAAGTCCCCCACTATTATAGTGTTGTTATCTATTTCTGTTATTTATTTAGCCTGTCCTTTAAAAATTTAGATGTTACAGCATTTGGTGAATATAGGTTTAGTATTGATATTATTTCATTATCTATGGTATCTTTTATCATAATACAGTTTCCCTGTTTATCTCTTTTAATTAAATCTATTTTAGCTTTCATTTTGTCTGAGATTGTGATTGATACTCCTGCTTTTTTTTTTAATCAGATGAAGCATAACAAATTCTACTCTGGTCCTTTATTTTAACTCTTTGTGTATCTCTCATTTTTAGATGTATTTCTTGACAACAACATATTGTCAAATTCTGATTTTTAATCCATTCAGCCAACTTTTTTTTTCCATTTTATGAGTAAATTTATCCCATTCACATTCAAAGTTGCAATTCTAGTCGTGCATTTCCCTCCATCCTCTTTTTGTCATTGCTTAGTCTTCTCTTCCTCTCTTTACACCCTATCTTCCCTCAAATGTTTAATTGACTTCTAACCACTGCTTCCCTGATATGTACCCTCTGTAAGAATCCCTCGCTTATCCTTCTATTCCTTAATCTACCCAGACTTCTAAGACACCCTCCTTATGCTTTCCCTTTTAAAGACTCCCTCATTTATCCTCTCCTTTTACCCTTTTATTTCTTAATTTCTAAATCTACTCTTCCAAAAGTCCCTCCCTTGTCCTATCCCCTTGCCTTCATATTTTTCTGTAAGTAAAGAATATTTTATATCCTTCTAGATGTATATGTTGTTCTCTTTTTAGCACAGTTCTGATAAGAATAATGTTCTAGCACTACTAGCCTTCCACACTTTCCCACCTCCATTGTAATAGTTCTTCCGTTCACGTCTTATTTGCATAAAATAATTGCCCCATTTTAACCTCTCCCTACTCAATTTTATTTTTTTAGGATCATCCCATCATACTCAACTCAACCCCACACCTTCTACTTATGTATGCTTTTTCAAAGTTCCCAAGTAATGATAACATTCTTAAGAGTTTCAGATAACAATTTTCCTATATACAAAGTAAAGATTTTGATTTTTTTTTTAAAGGCTATTGGGGTTAAGTGACTTGCCCAGGGTCACATAGCTAGTAAGTGTCAAGTGTTTGGTCTGAAGCTGGATTTGAACTCAGGTCCTCCTGACTTCAAGGTCAGTGCTCTATCCACTGTGCCACCTAGCTGCCCCCAATTTTATTATTTTTTATAATTGGTCTTTTATAATTAGTCTCTAATGTTTACCTTCTTATGTTTCTCCTGAGCTGAGTAGGTCAAATATTCCATTCAGTCCTGATCTTTTCTTCACAAATACATGCAAGTCCTTTAGTTCATTAAATATCCACTTTTTTCTATTCAGGGCAACACACAGCTTTGCTGGGTAAATTATTCTTTGTCACAAGCCCAGCTCCTTTACTCTTCAAAATATATTGTTCTCTGGTTTTTGGTCTTTTAATGTAGGAGGTGCTAAATCCTGTGTTAACCTAACTGTAGCTTCACAGTATTTAATTTTTTTTTCTTGTTTATAGTATTTTCTCCTTGACCTGGGAGCTTTGAAACTTAGCTATAATGTTTCTGTGAATTTTTTTTTCTTGGGATTGCTTTTAGGTGGTAATTGGTGGATTTTTCTATTTCTGTTTTACCCTATCATTCTAAAACTGCAAGGAGATTTCCCTTAATTTTTGATTTCTTGAAGTATACTGTCTAGACTCTTTAAAAAAAAATTCATTACTTTCAAGTAGTGCAACAATTTTTATATTGTCTCTCCTCAATTTGTTCTCCAGGTCAGTTGTTTTTCTAATGAGATATTTCACATTATTTTCTAGTTTTTAATTTTTTGACTTTGTTTTGTCAGTTTTTGGTATCTTATGGAGTCATTAACTTCCCCTTGCCCAATTCTAATTTTTAAGGAGTTATTTTCTTCCATAAGTTTTAGATCTCTTTTTCCAATTGATTGACTTTCTTATCAGAATGTTCTTGATTTTCTTGCATTACTCTTATTTTTTCCTTTAATTTTCCTCAACTTCCCTTATTTAATTTTTAAGTCCTCCTTGAGCTCTTCCAAAAACTCTTTTTGGGCTCATGATCATTTTGGTTTTTTTTTCTTCTTTGAGATAGAAATAACTGTCTTAACTTCCCTATCTTCTTCTCAGTTTGAACCCAGATCTTCTCTATCACCATAGTAGCTATCTATGGTTGAGTTCTTTCTCTTTTACTTACTTATTATTTTTCTTTCTTTCTTTATTGTATTGGCTCATTTCTTGTCTGTTAACTTTGTGTTAAAGATGTAGAGATATCATTTAGATAATTATACAAATGGAGAGATTTAGACTTGGTTAGATGCCTAGATTTAAAGGATAGTAATTGATAGAATAATATCAATGCCATAGCAGAGCATCTTAGGGATTCTCAGGCCTCTGCTGTTTTGCATTTTTAATCAGTGAGTTGGATAAAAGTATAGATGTTCAGTTTATCAAATTTGCAGATGACACCAAACTGGAATGGATAGCTAACACAGTGAAAGAGAGAATTAGGATTCAACTACATCTTGACCTACCAATGCATTGGATTGAATGTAATGCAATTAAGTAGAGATGAATGTAAAGAATTACACTTGGGTACCAAAAAAAAAAAAACAAAAACCAAGCCAAAACAAACCAAAACAAGAAAACAAAACCCAACAACCTTACAAACAAAATGGAGGAAGCGTAGTTAGCCAGGAGTTTGTGTGAAAAAAAAGGATCTAAATCTAGCCAATAGTTTACTAATGTTCAGATTCCTTAAGAGTCTGCCAAATATGACAGATGTTCTAATAAATCTTTTCTTTGGCTGAAAAAAAAAAAGAAAAAAAGATCTAAGGATCTAGTGAAGTCCAAGCTCAATATGATTCAGCAATTTGATGTGTTAACCAAAAGAGCAGATGAAGTTTTGCATTGCATTAAGAGAGTCCTAGCTTTCATGAATAAGGGGGTCATATTCCCTCTGTACTCTTTCTTCATCAGATCTCATCTATAGTATTATGTTAAGATTTGAGTATTACAGTTTAAGAAAGCTCTAAATGATGGCAATCGGCATTGTGAAGGAGCTACGTCATATAAAGACTGATTAAAAGAACTAGATGTGTTTAGCATAGTATAGAGAAGATTCAGGGTGGGGGAACATGATCACTATCTTCAAGTCTTTGAAGGACTACCATTTGGAAGAGGGACTAGATTTTTCAATTTGGTCCAAAAGGCAGAACCTAATGGATAGAAGTTGCAAAGAGGCAAATTTAGTTTTGGAGAGGGGACTCCTAGCAATTTTTGTTATTGTTGTCCTGTTGTGTTTGACTCTTCGTGACCACATTTGGGGTTTTCTCGGCAAAGATACTGGAATAATTTGCCATTTATTTCTCTAGCTCATTTTACAGATGAGGAAACTGAGGCAAACAGGGTTAAGTGACTTGCCCAGGTCATACAGCCAGTAAATGCTTGAGGCAAGATTTGAACTTAGGAAAATGAGTTTTCTTGACTTAGGCCTAGCACTCTATCCAGTGTGCTACCTAACTGTCCCTCCTAACAACTAGAGTTATACAAAAGCTAAATGGGCTGCCTCCAAGGGGTGGTAGGTTGTCCTTCTTTGGAGGTCTTCAAGTAGAGGTTGGATGACCACTTGTCAGGTATGTTACAATGGGAATTGATTAATTTCTGTTATGTTTTAGGCTGCTGAGTTCTCTTCCTGCTCTCAGCTTCTATGGTTCTGTGATTCACATCACAAGTCAGATCTTTCTGGTTACAGGAAGCACAGACACCATAAGGGTCTCTCAACTCTGCCCTATTCTTCAAAGAAAGCTTCAAGTGTTGAGTGACAGGCTGAAATTGCCTCCTGTCTCATTTGTCTTCCATTTGACTTTCCTGTCCTTCCCTGGCAGAACAATCAGCAACTATTGACTTTGGAGGATGCTAAGAGACACTATAAATACAGTATTCTGTACCATTTTCTTGAAATCCATCATCAGATTCTGAGTTTCCTGCTTCCTCTGGCTGTTCTTGCTATATAAGGGCCCTCCTGTGCAGAGATTGACAGGAGGAGGTAGAGAAGGAGAGCTTGGATTCCTGCTGAAACTCCTCAGAGAGATCCAGGTGAGACCCATCAGCCCAGCCCTACCTTCCTTGATAGAGTTTACCTGTGGAGGTCCAGGGGCTAAGGCAGGAAGCCTCTTTGTTGCTTAAATCCCTGGGGGGCCCTTTAAAGACCTCCCTCCCCCAAATCTCTGCTGGCCTCTGTTTCCTAGGTTGGAATAGTAGGCTGAATCAGGAATATCTCCTAAAGGATTTTTCTTTTGCTCTATGACCAATCTTAGTAAGTCTATTTTAAAATCAAACAGGGTTTATAAATTTCTAAGGAAATGTACATTTGCTTTTAATATATATTGGTAAGCTCCTTGAGGACAAGGGCTGTTTTTGACCTTTTTGTATCCCTATCCTTTAACGCAGTGCCTTGCTCATAGCAGGTATTTAACAAGTGCTTTTTGATTGACTGACTGGCTTGTTTGACCAATATTAGTGCTTTATAAATTACATAGAGTTATCCAAATAAAGTCCCTTCCCCTCTCTGGTCCTCAATTTCTTCATTGTAAAATGAGAAGATTGTACTAGAACTAGACAGAGTCTCAGGTTTCTTTCAGTTTTAACATTCTGTTCTCATCTCATTCTCAGTTCAGAGATGGATATATGAAAGGGGAGGATATTTGGAGATAAGGAATAATTTTATGCTAGAGATAAAGTATAAAACTGCTACATTTAGAAGTCATTAAATAGGATTGCTTCCAAAGAATACTAAAGTATATGCCTTATGGAACTAAACCTATTCAGGTCAACCACCTGTTTTGACAAAGGTCCAAACCCTTGCTGGGTATGTATGTCAGAAAAATCTTGGTAGCAAAACCAAAAGCTTTATGCTCTGATGTCTTGAATTAGACCTTGGAGTGGGAGATCCTGTGCCTGAAAACCTAGAATGTCAGAGCTGGAAGCAGAATTACAATTGTAGAATATGCAGCAAGTTTCTGACTGAACTGGGGCTAGAAGCTGAGTTCCAACCAGCTTTAGGCTCTTTCCCTCAAACCGTACATACTGCTTCTGTGTGTGCAACTCAGGAGGTAATAAAAGGTGCTAGAGAAGGTCCAAAAGAGACAGGCACCTAAAACATCTGAAGGTGACCAGAGGAAGCATGTATGATTTTAGCACAAAGGAAGGGGAGTGATAACTTGCCCAGCCTTGAAGAGACATGAAATTTCAGCCTAGAAGATTTGTTGGGGGGACAGGGTCTGTGAGTTCATTGATAAAGGGTGAGGTGAAGGATAGTACCAAGAGATTAAGTGACTTGCCTAGGGTTTGCATAGCCAGAATGTGTCAGAGATGGGACTTCAACTCAGATTTTCCTGGCTTCAAGTTTGGCTTGCTATCTTCTACATCATGCTGCATCTCAGAGGATTTATACAAGTTGGAAAAGAAGAAAGGAAGAAAGGTAGGAAAGGAGGGAGAGAAGAAGGAAATTTATTAAGTGTTTACAACGTGCCAGGGACTGCACATGTGCATATATGGATTTAGAAAGAGACAAAATAAGGGACCTTTCTCACAGTTTATATGGAGAAACATGGCATTTGTGGGTTTGGACCAAACCAATGAGTATCAAATCTCACCTTATCTTCCTTCAAACATACTCTGTGGGACCCTAACCAAAAAACTCTTTTGGGCTGGAGGAGTTTTTGTCTCTGGTGTGTGTGTGTGGGGGGGGTGCATTTCTTTTCTTCTTCATTCACATTAATTTTATTCTTTAAACCTGTCTCTGAATGGAAATAACAGTGAAATTATTTAAAGTATTCTGACCATTACAAGCAAGTCTGGAGGGGAAATCTCATATTTACTTCATATTTTATTTTGGGGAAAATATTTTTTAAAATGTTTTTTTAATTAATTCTTTTTATATCAGGAAGGAAGATGCTTAAGATTTGGGGGCTTGTTCTCTTCTATGGACTGCTCACACAGAGCTCAGCCTACCCAAAAAGACACAAGCCAATCCTGGCTCATCCACATGCAAAAGTACCTGTTCAAGCAGAAGCATCAGCACGGGCAAACTTACTCTTAAAAACAGCTACCAGTAAGTTACCATCTGACCCAGTACCAACTAGTGATCCTCAGGTGATTTGTGGCCAGAAATGAAAAGCTCACTAGAAGGAAGGCTAGTAGTAGTAAAAGACATGTGTGATATGTGGAGTGGGCAGGGATTTAAAATGGATTGACATAACCTATTCTCCAAAACTCATAAGAATTTTGAGAGGTGCAAGGCATGGTAGAGCACTGTAGTTGAATTAGAGATTCATTAGAATCTCTTTTTTTGAGAGTATCTACCAATCGGTGACAATGGGATATAGAGGGGAAAAAAGTAATTGAGAAATCAATTCATTTCTTGAGTCTACTACTTAATTACCCATAGATCTTTATTAAGTCATTTCCCCTCACTATGCCCCCTAAAATGAGATTGATTTATAGAGATAATGTGATACAGAGGAAAGAGCCCTGGATGTGGAATCAAAGACTGGCTTCTAATCCCAGTACTACCATTTACTATTTGTTTGACCTTAAGCAATTAATCAGTCAGTTTTCTCATCTAATAATAGCTAAGATTTGTATAGCACTTACTATGTGCCAGGCACTATACTAAGCACTTTAAAATGATTGTCTCAATTAGTCCTCACAATAATCCTGGGAAGTAAGTGCTATTACTATCGCCATTTTACAGATGAGGAAACTGAGTCAAATAAGTTAAGTGGCTTGCCCAGGGTCACACAGCTTATTAGTGATTGAAGCCCAGATATGAACTGAAGTCTTCTTAACTCCAGGCCTGGTACTTTATCCACTGAGCCACCTACCTGCCTCATCTACAAAAGAAGTATTGGTTAGAAGACCACTAAGGTCCCCATTGGCTCCAAACACATTTTCCTGTGACCATATACCTTTGTAAATCCTTTCCATATCTCTACCTATACTGCTGCTATAATAGCTTAGACTGAAGCCAAACTTCACAGAACAAATCCCCTTAATAAAAGGATTTGTTCTGTAAAACTTAGATTCAGTCAAAAGGCCACACCCAAGGACCCACATGTGGCCTCAAGGCCTCAGGTTCCCCACCCCTGGCTTAGAGGTTATTGTTGGTCAATTGTATCTGACTCCTTGTGACCCCATTTGGGGTTTTCTTGACAAAGATACTGGAGTGGTTTGTCATTTCCTTCTCCAGCTCTTTTTATAGATGAGGAAACTGAGGCAAACAGGGTTAAGTGACTTACCCAAGATCACACAGTTAGTAAGAGTCTGAGGCTAGATTTGAACTCAGGAAGGTAAGTCTTCTTGACTTCAGGCCTTGCACTCTATCTGATGGGGTATGGACCCAAGCTGAGATCTTTACCCCTTACCCCAAAAGGAATTTGAGTCCCATTTATCTATGGGCCCTAGATAAACTCCACCTTGGACTCTCCTTGAACTCCCACTTGACCAAGGAAGTCTCTAGCTTTTGCCTGAGGCTATAATCCTATCAACTAGCCTTTCATTATCCCCTACACACGATCTCCTAATTCTCAGCTATCCTTAATTTAGCCCAGTCCTCCATTGTCTGTTAGTTCTGGATGCCCCCCACTTCCCACCCTAGACCCTATCTATTGACCTCCAGTCACCCAGCCTACTGACCACTCCCATTAAGATACCCTTTCTCTCAGACCCTTCCTCCAGGCACCCCAAAGTACTTGGTCACTCCTAGATCCCTCCCACAGTCTTTCTATATATAAGATCCATCTTGATCACCATTAAGGTGACCACTTGTCAATAAGAGCATCGCAAATGTTTAGATTCCTTAAGAGTCTGGCCAATATGTTGGATCTTTAATAAATCTTGTCTTTGGCTGAAAGAAGGCTTGGGTCAAATTCATTTTGGCAGGACTTGTGTGTCACTATTTTGGGGTTCCAGCACCCCTCAACTTCTGAACCTCATATATCCACTGTGCCACCTAGCTGCCTAGAAGAATAATCATTTCATCACCACCACCTGACAAAATGAGACCTTTATTCCATAAAGTGTAACTGTCAGATAACATAGCCTGCTCCTTGCTCTTAGAGCTAATTTCTGTTTTCCAATGACCCAGGTCTTGCCTCATCAAACTTGTAGATTACAGGGATTCTGGGCATTCCCTTAACCCTTCACACATTTGGGAGCTATTTGAAGAATAGATTTTTGTAATATGAATTCTTATCTTTTTCATATCAAGGAGCATCTTCAATTTTAATCTCCTACTTCTACTGTAAGTCTGAACCATTACCCCCTCATTGCCTCACTGCCTCATTGCCCTGGGGCTATAGGAGCAGTGGAGAGACATGAATATCCTCATTTCCATGCGTAACGATTTGGAAAATATAGTCACTCAAAAATAAACGATAGACTCTGGCTGAGGTCCTTAGCAATTCAATATAAATCTTTTGTTTTTTAACATCACCTATATATCCCAATATAACTCACTCTGTCTGCCAGAGAACCACCCCTAATGACAAAAATTTAAATAGAGAGGGAAAAAACAGTTTGACAAAACTAACTGATACATAAGCAAGTCCAACATTACATATAATATCTCCAACTCTTAGGATCCCTTCCACCTCTGAAAGAAAGGGAGGTAGTTATATTCTCATTTCTCCTCTTTGAGGATACACTTAGTCATTATAATTTGGTAGTGTTTGGTTTAGATTGTTCTGTTGTTAATTAATAATGTTACTTTGATTTTTTTAATCTTTTACTAAGAGCTGACTATGTGTGGCATTATGCTAAGCCTTGGGGATGCAAAAGCAAAGACGGGGATTGTGCCCTTGTGAAACTCATATTCTAATGGAGGAGATGACATGCACCTATAGAAGGCAGAGTTTGAGTTGAATTTTGAAAGAAGTCAAGAAAGTCAACAAGTGGTGGTAAAGAGGGAGATAATACCAGGTGTGGAAAAGACAGCTAGTGAAAAGCCAGGGAGTAAGGAAATTGAATATCATATTCCAGGAAGAGCAAGAAGGCCAATGTCGCTGAATGGTAGAGTACATGGAGGGGAGTGAAGCATAAGAAGACTGGAAAAATAGGAAGGGGCTAGGTTGAGAGGGGTTTTAAATGGCAAAGGGAGGATCTTTTATTTGATCTTGAAGGTAAAATGGAGCCTCTGGAGTTTATTGAGTGTAGAGGGCCAGCTCTGATCAGTCCAGAAAAGGGTTAAAGAATTCAGGTTGGAATTTAACTCCTGCCTGTTCTTACCTTCAAGGGCTCACTTTATCAGGATGTTGGCTCACCACTCTCCTATTCATTAAGGGGCTCCTAGAACTGCCCGACTATGACACAATAACAGTCTGGCATGAGGGATAACATGTGGCAAACTAGGGAGGACTAGTCACATACTTTGAGATAAGAACCTGAGACAGCCCTGAGAATGATTGTCAAGGCCTGTTAATTGACTGTTAATCTCTATCTTGTAACCATTTGTTTAAAATGATGTAATCCTTTTTTCTTGATACTTTTATTGTATGCTCCTTTGATGTATGTCCTGAAATTATTTTTTTTACCAAGCTCTGATCCTTGAAAGGTTATCAGTAACAGTTACAGAATATGCATAGTTTTCCCACACAAGGGAAAACTTTTCCTATATATGCTGTGACCCTCAGATGAATAAACGGTTCAGTCTTTGCTGACCCACCTGGCCCATGTTTCTTCAGTTCACGCTCTCCTGTCAGGTGTGACTCTTAGTTGCTGGCAACAATTGAGTAAGAGAGTGACATAGATTTGTTGCAGCATTTTTATGGCTGTGAAAAATTGAAACAAAACTGATACCTATTTTGGAGGAGGTAGCCAAAAGACAGTTGGTAATATGAGCCTGGAGGCCAAGATATAGCCTAAGGTTGGATATATGGATCTTGGAATCATACTCTCAGAGATGATGATTGATATAAATTGATGAAATCATTGAACAAGATAGTATAGAGGGAGCAGAGAAGAAAGCCAAGGACAGAGTCTTCAGGGGCGCCAATGGTTAGTGAGCATGATTTGGATGAAAATTGGCAAAGGAAACAGAGAAGGAACAGTCAGGCAGGTAGGAGGAGAGCCAAGAGAGCAATGTCATGAAAACCTAGAGAGGAAAGAATAATGAGGAGAAGAGAGTGGTTGGCAGTGTCAAAAGTAGCAGACAAATCTGGAAGAAGAGGATGCTTGTATTAGTCATATTCATTTCTATGACAATTATATTACATAATGCACTAAAATTTGTTTATCCATTTCTCCTCAAATTTTCATTAAGTCATGTCCAACTCTTCATGACCCTATTTGGGGTTTTCTTGGCAAGGATACTGGAGTGGTTTGCCATTTCCTTCTCCAGCTCATTTTACAGGTGAGGAAACAGGGCAAAGTGACTTGCCCAGGGTCACACACCTAGTAAGTCTTTAAGACTAGATTTGAACTAAGGAAGATGAGTCTTCTTGACTTCAGGCCTGGCATTCTATCCACTGTACCACCTAGTTGCCTCCTTCAAAATAGGTATCAGCTTTGTTTCAGTTTTTTTTTTCACTACCACAAAAAGTGCTGCAACAAACATCTATTAAATACCTATTATGTATCAAGCCATGTGCTCAGTGCTGGTGTTACAAAAATAAAAAATGAGACAACCCTTGCCTCTCAGGGAGAGATCTCTGAGATTTTGATCTATGCCTAGTTTCTGCCATTTCAAAGGGGAAAGATAGATAGATTTCTATTGGTTGAAACAAAATGAATGTAGGATTTAGGACAGGAGGGGATTTAAAGGTGCTGTGATTGTTGAGTTTTGGAAGATTTGGTGAGGACAGAGATGAATTTCCATCATTGCTCAGCTCAGCCTGTGGGCCATCACTCTTCCATTAATAAACTAGGCCAACCTATTCATATTTTTATGAGATTGTAGGCTTAAGAGCTATGAGGGAAATTGTTCAGTCCAACCCTTCAAGATGAGAAATCTGAAACTCAGAGAGGGCACCAAATTTGCCTGAGACCATATAGGTAGTAAGTAGCAGAGCTGGGTTCAAACCCAGGTCCTAACTCTAGACCTAGTTCTTTTGTCTCTATGCTAGATTATTCTTCTATAAGCAAGAGTTAAACCTAAGACTAGCTGATTCTTGAAACTATTTACAGGTTTACACAGTCAACTGTTGAACACAAATACTCCCAGAAATCTTAAGAAACTCTCCTTCATGAAGGCTGTGCATGCTATTCAAGGTGGATTGCTTGGAAATTTGCATGCAGGAATGGATGGCAAGTTTTTTGACCTGGAGTTATCTTCGTAAGTTCACTGTACTAATTGTCTAGTCTCAGACCCAAATGTGGGAACCCGATAGTCCCAGGCAGTGACAAGGATTCTAGATTGTATAGGTTAAGTCAGGGGAAGGCTGCGTGAGAGGATAGAGCAGCTTAAAGCAGGGCCTGACTTTAAGAGAAGGGGAAGGACAAATGCAGGGTCAGGGAGGCAAGCGTGTAGGTGGGGCAAAGTTAAAATCTTTGCTCTCCTCCAAAGAAAGTGTTTATAGTTCTGAAGGACTAAATTGACCTAGAGATGGCCCTAGGTATATGTTCTAGAGTATCATGTGAGGGCAGAGAAGAAATGTTGGTTAAAAACAATCAAAAGAAAAAAATACTCATGGATAGAGTATTGACCCTAGAGTCAGGAGGACCTGGCTTCAAATCAAGCCTCAGACACTTGACATTTACTAGCTGTGTGATCCTGGGCAAGTCACTTAACCCCAATTGCCTCAAAAAAAAAAGAAAAAGAAAAAAATACTCAACATACTATATCCACAATATAACATTATTCCCTTGGAAAGGACCAGAGTAACATTATAGCCTGGAGACCCATGAGAGTATTCTCAACCATCAGCAAAAGAAGCAAAGAAAGAAGGAAACAAGAATTTGTTATTATACTCTTACTATATACTAGGTGAAGTAAGATAGATTGTTTCCATAGCAGTGTCATATAGTTGTTGTTTTAGTCATCCATGGCTGCGGGTCCAAGGCCTCTATCATGATTGAAAGTAAGGTAGCCGTAGGTATAAAGCTCCTAGTTCTGTCAATTTATTGGTAAACTGTGAATCTACTAATAAAGAAGGTCAATAGCTTCTTCAGCAAGCCAAAAGATGTTGAGGATGAGAGGCAGCCCCTTTTGATAAGCATAGAAAAAAGATCAGAAGTTGGTAGGTGGGGGAAACATATGATTTGTTAAAGGACTGACAGCAACATGGGGGTAGGGGTAATATGATTGGTTGAAAGTCTGGATTGTGGACTGGTAACAACTCTTCCTTCCATCTTGACAATGTCCACTAATATTGCCCACCTGGATGTTGTAGGAATAACTAGGTAGATATCAAATTTCCTCCAAAAAAAAATAGCTATACAAAAACATCTAGAGACAGCATATTTCCTGGAATGGCACCATGCTAGCTGATAGAGATAGCAACGGATGTCCTGGAATTGAACGCAGGATAGTTAATGATATAGAAGATAATAAGTTTCCTTGATATGAAGTGATTTGCAGATGGTGCTGAGATAACAGTTCCCTTTGAATTAAAGTCTTTTATGAGACCACCAAGCTTTTATACTTAGCTCAGAGTTTTTCTTCAATTAAAAGTGACTGACTTTTGTATTTGCTCAGTTTTCCTTTAATTAAAAGTGATTGATAGGAAAACTGAACTTCTGCATTTAGTTGAGAGAAGAAGATTGAACTTTTGAATTCATAAGTTTCTTCACTCAGAGACAGAGAAAACAGCTTAGGTAGTTATACATATTAGAATCAGTTGCAAAATAGGATCAATTGAAAACCTGGTACGGGTTCTGTTGGAGCCTTCCCACTTCCCCCACCTCTCAGATCCTATCCTGATAGTTAGTCCAGTCCTCTGTCCAAGAACCATAGACCCGTCATCATCATTTACTGATATTCTTATTGAATCAATACTCTAACCTCAAAGATGACTCCATCCCACCTGAACTTCTACTGCCCTGTGCAGAACTTCATGTGGAAACTGGACTGGACATTAGAACACAAAAGGTCCTACTCTGTAATTATCATTATTTCCTAGATATTATTTCCTTTCCTCACCTACATTATAAGTGTCATAAAATCCAGGATGATGGCTTCTCCTGGCCTTGTATCACTGATAGTGCCTTGCAAACAGCTAGGACCACCATAAGTACTTCATAAATACTTGACTGATTAAGTGGTGATAAAAAGGTGATAGTCCTTGAAGGTGGGAAAATAAGAATGTCTTTTTAATGATTCACCCCTCTCCAATAAATTCTTGAAACAAAAAGCAACTCTTTGTAGAGGAACAAATCTAGAAATAGAAGTTAAAGGACTTGAGTTCTAATCTTGGCTCTATTACTAATACGTTGGGTACATTGGAGCAAGCCACTTGACTTGACCAAATAAGCACAGAAATCACATGCCATCCTTGCCCCTGAGTACAGTATATTGCTGGGTCAATTTATTATAGTTGTCCAGTCTCACCTTCATGGTTTAGGGTGAGTGGTTGCAATGAATTGGGAAGGATATTGTCAATTGGACCTTCTGATTAGGTCAGATCTGATTAGGCCAGAATCCTACCATCAAGCTGGAGAAGAGAATTACTTGAAGGACAATGTTAAGGTTCAGAATCTGTGCCAAAATTCAGAATTGATGTCAAGGTTCAGAATCTTTGGTTCTTTAGTTGAAAATACCTTCCCTTCTCTCATTCTCCCTTGCCTTTGTCTGACAGAGAGCTAAATATGGGAGTAGTTTATTTTGGAAAGGGTTAGATTTGGTGAAGAATGTGAATTATTGACCTCTGTCCTTTAATGTGACTTCTCTGTTTAGGATTAAAGTTATAAAGGCTCAGATCTTTGATATCAATATTACACAAAGTGAAGACAGACATCAGCTATTAGCAACATTCCCTACAACCTTGGATATGGAAGCAAATATGTGAGTGATCTTTCTAAGTTTTAAAATCTCCATTCAGTGAAATGAATGATGTATCAGCAAAAGTAAGCCAGCTACCTATGATTATGATGGTTCATGACAGATGTGAAAAAAATACTTTGTAAATTGTAAAACAGTAGGTCAATGTGAATCATTGCTATTATTCTTTTATTATCATATAATTTCATTCTCATCTTTTTTATGGAGTTCAATCAATGAACCAACAAGTATTTATAAAGTACCTCTATATGTCAGGCACTGGGCTAGATGCAGAGGACACCAAGACAAAAGTAAAAACAGTCATTGAACTTGAGGAGTTTTGAGTCTAGCCAATGGAGACAACATGTACATATAGAAATATATATGAATTACATATGATTTGAGGGGAAGGTATTAATAGCTGGGAGATTAGGAAAGTCTCCCTGTAGAAGGTGATCCTGAAGAAAACTAGGAAATCTAAGAAAGGGAAATGAGAAGGGAATGCCTGTCACACATTTGGATCAGCCAGTGTAAAGCCTTGAAGATGGGAGATGTAATATTGTGGATGAGGACCAAGAAGTACAGATTGGCTACATGGAAGGGAGCAATGTGTCCCAAGGCTAAAAAGGTAGGTTAGGGTCAAGTTGAAAAGTGTCTTAAGTAGCAGAGTAGCCCCTATAGTTAATAAGGATCCCAATGGAATTCGTTAAGGGATGGACTGAGGCTGTCAGAATTGTACTTAAAAAAAAAGTATTTTGGCAGCTGTGTGAATAATGGATTGGAGAGGAGGGAAGGATGGTAGGAGACTCCTGCTACAGTTCAGGTGAGAAGCTCTATTGGCCTGAATTAGAATGGTAGCTGTGTGAATGAAGAGAAGAGGAAGTTTCAGTCAAAACCAGATTAGGAAATGTGGAGAAGAGAATGACAGGAGAGGAGATGAAGGTGATAAGTTCAAACAACTTTTTCAAGGATTTTGACTTCTTGATAAAAGGAGAGATAGAGGAAGATAACTTGTGGGTAGAAACGGGTCCCATGATTTTTTTTTTTAAGTCATGCTTGTAGATAGCAATGAGAGAACCAGAATATAAGGAGAAATTACAGATGACAGACAGACAGACAGAAAAAGACAGAAAAAGAAAGAGAGGATGGGGAGTGAGAAAAAAGAAAGACAGAGAGAGACAGAAAGAGTGGAGAAGGGAGGGAGAAGGAAAAAGAGAGAGTAAGAGTGAGAGAGGAAAAAAAGAGGAAAAGGAGGAGAGAGAAAAAGAAAGAGGTGGAGGAAAGAAAGAGAGGAGGAAAGAGAGAAGAAAAGAGATGGATGGATAGAAAAAGATAGAGCAAGAGAGAGTCACAGAGAGACAGAAAGGGAGGAGAGAGAAAGATAGAGACAGAGATAGCAGGAGAAAAAATGAGAGAGAGAGAGAGGAGTAGGAGGAGAGAGAGAGTGAGAAGAGAGATGACAGAGGGGGCAACTGGCTGAAAAAAATAGGTTATGTAGATTTCAAAGTGCTTTGGAAATCATGAGGTATTGGCAAAGACAAATCTCAATAGGAGTCTAAAGAGAGGAGCTACCTATGTTCATTGCTGCATTCCTCTTTTGGGTTTGGTGGGCAGGACTGTTGAGTTAACCCAGCTCTCTGATTTTACCCCATGATCGGTTTCTATAAATAATAGAGTTCTATCTCTCCAAACTATATTTTCTTTCTTCAGAAAGTTTCTTGGAAATATTGGCTTCGTAATAGAAGTGAACAACAAATTTCAGATTGGAACAGAAATGGATGAAAATGAAGATGGTTACCTGGTCATTCAGAATTGTAACACTGACTTTGTCAGTTTACAAGTCAAAACTCATAGTAGGTGAGTCATCAAAGAGCTTCGTGGTGCTCATCGTGGGCAGCCAATTCCCATATTTGGTGGGGATGGTAATTTGTTTCCATTCTTTTTAGTCCAATTCAGCCTGGTGTCAAATGGAACCTGATCCTGGGTGACAAGGGACCTGGGTTCATATCCTAATTGCACCATTTAATCCACACAGGGTTCAAAATCTAATTGGAGATATGAGCTTCTCCTAGCTTAGTCAAGAAAGGTTTCCAATAAGAGATGCACTATGAAATGATGTATTTGGGAAAGGTGGTTCTGTAAGTAAGATATAGAAACGCTATTAAAAAGTTAGTTATTTAAAAGTTAGGGAGCAGAAAAAGATGTATTTTCTTACAAAGAAGGGAATGATTTAAAAAAAAGGTTGCATAGTGGATAGAGTACAGAATCAGGAGGACCTGGGTTCAAATCTGGCCTCAGACATTTACTAGCTGTGTGACCCTGGGCAAGTCACTTAACCCCAATTACCTCCCCCAACAACAATAACAACAACAAAAAGGGACAAGAGTCAGAGATAAGGGGATTTCAGTGCTGGGATAGAGATCCATGTGAAATGTTTACATCCAGAGAAGACTGAAAGTTGTAAGGTCTTGAGTGAGGGGTAATTGTAACTATTTTGTATGAGTTATATGATATACATATATATCATAATATAACATTATATATAATATATAGTTATATATATAACATAATATAATCCTAAATTATATCATATAAACAATATAAATTATATGAAATTTTATTACATATATGTGTGTGTGTGTGTGTTAAAAAAAAAAGTGGAGAAATCAATCAAGCACCAGGCATTTATTAAGTGCCTACTTGAGATAGGGTGGGATATGTCGGGTGTTCAAGGAAGACTAGCACCTCTGGTGTGAGGGCTTTTGGAGCCTTTTTCCCTGGCTGCTCATCCACCTTTGGTGTCTCCCTGGCCAAAACAACAACAAACAACTTGTGACAGGCACTGGATATGGAAGCAGAGGATAACAACAACAATTCTGTATAGGCACCTGAGATACAAAACCAGACAGCAAACAGTCTCATGCCCTCCTTGCATAGGGAAGTCCATGAGTATGTATAAGTATATACAAAATAAATACAAGGTAATTTGGTGGAGGAAAGTATTAATAATTGGGGGGGAGCAAAGGGGAAGGGGAAGGGAAGGTACCAGGAACACTCTTGGATAACAAGTGACCTTGAACTGATCTTTGAAGGAAACTAGGTATTCTAGGAGTCAGAAAATCTGGGTTCTAGTTACAGAACTATCTCTCTCAATTGGAGTATCAGCAAAAGACTTTCCATTTCAGAATTTCATTTTCCTATTCAATAAGCACTTATTAAGCACCTACTACATGCCAGGCACTATGTTTAGTACTGAGGATACAGAGAAAGTCAAGGCATAGTTCCTGCTCTCAAGGAGTTCTAATGATGGGGGAGACAACATGAAACGACTATTCATGAATAAGATGTATACCAGATAAATTTGGAGTAGTCTCAGAGTAAAGGCACTAGGTTTAAGTAGGACTGTGAAAGACTTATTTGAAAAAAGTGGGGCTTTAGCTGAGACTTGAAGAAAGCCAGGAGATAAAGATCAGGAAGGAGAGCATTCTAGGCATGAGGGACAACCAGTAAAAATACTTGGAGTCTAGAGATGGAGTGTCGTGTGTGTGTGTGTGTGTGTGTGTGTGTGTAGGCACATGTTGGTTTGTCTCTGAGTCAAGTTCAGAAGTTCATGAGTTCAGGCCTCTATTTTTCCTCTCTGAGATAAGTTTAAAAGGTAAGAAGACTAGAAAGAGAGGAGGGATTGGGTTATGAAGAGGTTTAGAGGCTAAATAGAAAATTTTTTATTTTATGTTTTTATATCTTATTACCTGGAAGTAATAAGGGAACCACTGGAGCTTATTGAATGGAGAGGGGGCTGACATGGTTGAATTGTACTTTAGGAAGATCGGTTTGGTAGTTGAGTGGAGAATGGACTGGAGAGAGACACTTGGGGCAGGGAGACCAATCAGCAAGCTATTACAACAGGCTAAGTAGGAGGTAATGAGAGCCTGCTTCAGGGTGGTAGCAATGTCAGAGGAAAGAAGAGAGTATATACAAAGAAATGACAGAACTTGACAACTGACTTGGATATGGGAAGTGAGAGAGACTGGGGAGTTGAGGATGCAACTGACTGAGAGGATGGTGGTATTGTCTAGGAAGAGGGGGGAATTGAAGGACAATGAGTTCAATTTTGGACATACTGAGTTTTAAGATGGATATGAAACAATCAGTTTGAGATGCCCAATAAGTATTTGGAGTAGTAAAATTGGAGGTCAAGCCTGAGGTTAGGGCTGGACAAATAGATCTGAGAATCATCCTCATAGAGATGATAATTTGAGAAAATCAAATATTGACTTATTTTCTATCTGATTCCATTCTGTAATTGGTTCTATTCTATAACTGCCTGAGTCATGTTGGTTTGTCTCTGAATCAAGTTCAGAAGTTCTTGAGTTCAGACCTCTATTTTTCTTCTCTGAGATAAGTTTAAAAGGTAAGCTTCCCTATAAACCACTTTAATTGAAAGAAAGCTGTTATCTCTATACCTTCTTGCATACCCATGGACAATTAAAGGGTATCTGCTCTCCTACTAACAAGTTTTATAGAATTCAGGTGGGTGCCAAAAACTCTGTTATTTCCATTCAACTAATGAGCAGATGGACTCTAATCAACCTTTCCTGTCAGCAGATTGGAAGAAGGGATTATTGCTAGCACAAAATGTCCAGGCAATCACAGTGTTTTCATCATCTATGATACTTGAGACTGCAAACAACTGTAGTGTTCTACATCTCTGATGCTTCCTTTTCTTTGTTCTCTTGTACTTCTCAAAACTATATGGAGGCTAATAAGCCCCACAAAATGGTCTTTTGCCTGACTGAGAAATTGAGAGACCCTCTTTTATTGGTAATTGCTAGCCTTACCAATAAATTGAATGTGCTTGGAACTTTGTGCTTCAGTTTACCTTAATTTTCAAATGTAACAAATTAACTACATGGGAGCTGATATCACCAAATGAAATAGTGTAGAGAGAGAAGAGAAGAGGACTTAGAATTTATCCCTGAGAGACACCAACAGTTAGTGGTCAGGATCCTGGATGAAGATCCAGCAAAGGAGACTGAGGAGAGGTTGGACAGGTAGCAGGAGAACCAGGAGAGACAGTAGTATGAAGAAAACTGAGACAGAGAAGACAGTATTAAAGAGAAGATCTAATTAAAGAGAAGGTCTAATTATTAATAAAATCTAATTAATAATCTAAATTAATTGCCAGATCTAACGGCCATTAAAGGATCATTGATGACTTTGGAGGATAGGAATAATCACTTTAAAGAGCTGTTGTAAGGATTTTTAAAAGACTTCATAAATGTAATACACTGTAAGAACCTGAGAGATTATTATACAAGCATCTATTTCTCTTCATTCCTTTCTTATAGGATATATAATAGGATTCACATCCCACGTGACTCTGAACTCCATGAGAGTAGGGACTTTTGCATCTCCCTCAGTGCCCAGCATCATATTCTGTGCACAGTAGGCATATAGTAAATGTTTATTAAATATACAAATAAAGGGATAAAGCCTATGCAGGAGCCTGAGGCTGGGGTTAGAAAGTCATAGGACAATCTTTCTCTTCTGACTGTTCAGGATGGAAATATGATGCTTAACCCTTTCCCCTCCTGATACACATGAACCACTCTCACCCCCACAATGCTTCCTTTTGGAAGCGGCATGATAGAGTAAGAAAAAAAAAATCACTGTATCAGAGCCAGAGGACCATTTTCCAGATCCCATTCCTGCTACTTACTAGCTATATGGCCTTGAATGAGCCACTGAGACTCAGTTTCCTCATCTGCAAAATGAAGGGGTAGACTAGATGGACCAAAGGACTAAGGTCCTTTCCAGCAGTAGATCCAATGAAAGACTATCCTTATATATCAAGATGTCTTGTTCTGCTTTGTGAGATAGACGCTCTTCATGAGCATACAAATTCAGTCCTAAATCATGTTTGTCTTGCTGAGTTACTCAGCCTTCATAAAGTCATAGTAGGGGTGTGCTAGAGTTAATTCTAACTGACCTGTGAGAGCTGGTTGTTAAATTTTCAGTGTCAGAATTTGCATCTCAGAAATTGGCAATTGATAGAAATCATGGGTTGATTTATCATTTTGTTGATTGTCTCTAGACTTAGCCAAGTATTAATAATACAGATTAAACTTAAAAGCATGTGAGCATACATGCCTGCCCTCTGAATACCCCCCCCTACTGCCAGTCTGGTTGTTAAACATTTACCAGCACTCCCCTGTATTGCTCTATAAATATTGTTTGAATTCAGCAGGAGGGTAGTAGAAAGCTCAGGGAAAGAAATCATTATCAGACTGGAGGCCTGGTAACTGTAGGCTAACGACAATAATAATAATATCAACATTAACAATAATAATAACTGACATTTCCATAGTGCTTTACAATTTGCAAAGTGCTTTACATCAATGATCTCATTTGAACCTGGTGACACCCTTGGCCATATGGCAGTTCTTTTGGGCCTGCTTAGCTGAATTTCCCACTAGGATGGAAGGCCTCTCATCTCTGGACAGAGGGGATCTTCTTCCTCACACTCCTCAAGAAAGTGGTTGATTGTACTCTATCCTCATGGTCTTTTTTCTTTCAGGATACTCAATTCTATCTTGGATGTATTTAGAAGCGTTCTGAATGCTGTGGTCCCCGAGCTGGTAGAGGAAGCAGTAAGTGCACCCGTGCAGATTCCTCCAGGCCTTTCTTTAGTATAAGTTCTGGGCAGTACAAAGAAACCTAGACTAAGGACTCAAAGCCCAGGGTTCTAGCCTAAGCTGTCTGGCTCTGGCTTGCTGTGTGAATTTGGACAAGCCCCTTCTCATCTCTGGAAAAAAAATGAAGGAGTGGGACAAGTGATCCCTAAGGTTCCTCTGAGTTCTGACATTCATTCTGTAGTCTCTCTTGCATGTGATGGCAGACTAGTCACCTCTTAGGTCAGATAAACTTGGTGGTGACACTTTCCCTCAGGAAATGGGATCACACACATCCCTCTGTGTTTGTGTTTCAGCTCTGCTCGGCAGTCAGCACGTGCTTACCGAAGTTAGGTGTTAAACTGAAAACGGCTCTTGTGGGTAAGTGTCTCCTTTCCATAGCAGGGGTGGGGAACCTGCAACCTCGAGGCCACATGTGGCCCTCTAGGTCCTAGTGTGTGGCCTTTTGACCACGTCAAAGTTTTACAGAACAAATCCTTTTATGAAGGGGATTTGTTCTGGGAAGATTGGATTCAATCAAAGGGCTGCCCTTGAGGATCTAGGACTCAAGGCTGCAGGTTCCCCACCCCTGCTGGCACAGTCTCTCCTTTCTATTTCTAAGGAGCCGAGTCACCCAGGCCACTTATTGGCTCTTGTGTTGTTGCTGCACTGAAGTTTTAAGGATTTTGCACCAAGAACAAATTGGCTACTATCTGTTAAATTCTGTTCCTAGTTCTAATCAGTTTCCCTCTCCCCATATCTGCTATGAAGAGACTAAGAGCTAAGTGGGGCTTGCATGTTTTAAAAAAATTAAAATAAAAAAAAAGCAGAAGCTCGGTTCCTCTTCCCCTATCCTTCTAGAGATTTCTTGGAAAGTCCTGGCCCAGGTGCCCCATTCTTCTTAGGCCTATTGAGCTGAACACAGTCCATTGTGTTCCAGGGTTCCCTGATTTCTAGTACTGGGTCATTGCATGGTCCCTAATCTCACATTATTCCCGAAGAAAAATTAATGACTCACTGACTAACTGATGAATGAATGTAGTGAGTGAAAAAATGGGTTTGGAGTACATAAATAATGCTCTGTCCTGAAACCTGACCAGCAACATGAAGCCAGGCTGTCTCTAGTGAAAAAAAAAAAACAATAGGTCTGAAAAATAGCTAAGCTGTGTCAGATTCTGTCCTCTTCAGAGCACCTAACTCCAGTGAACTGGCAGATGCCTTTTTAACCACTTTCAATTAGAGACCTAGTTGGAACCCCACCCCTCCCTGTGGTGAGTGAAAGACAAAGTGACTTGAGGAAACAGAGGTTCAAGCTTCCAAGTATATCAATTTATTAGGTAATGCATGTTAATTGCCTAAAAAATCAGGACCGGACCCTTTCCTCAGCTTAGAGCTGGACCCAATTAATCAAATAAGATCATTTAATTAAAAGAAAACAATTAATCAAGATACAAAACTAAGTGATCTGATTTCTAATTGGAAGAAAGGTTAAGGACTTTCCAAGTAGAGAGGGAGAGAATAATAGGTACAAATACCTGAAATCATAAAAAGAGTTAACCCACTCCCCCAAAGTGACTGTATATAATCAAAGGAACATGGAAACAGTAACTGATAATTGTTCAGTATGGGGCCAGTTTTCAGATAAAACATATGAGTTGCTTGAGATGTATAATTATGAGAAAACTCTTTGCATTGATCTTTGGATTTGACTGAGTTTCTGGTCAGCATAACATAGGGCTTTAGGTAAAGGTCTCTAAGCAGCAGGTAAAGGTGGTCCAGCTTCCCAGCTGCACAGGGCTAGGTTCAAACAATGAAATAAGGTTTTCTTTCAATTCTCACAACTGAATAAAGTTTTCTAACAAGACAGAAATTGGACTAGACCTGTAATTAAATAGAAAGGAAACTGAACTAGCTCCAGAATTGAGTCACAAGACGGAGTCAATGTGGTTCACTCAATTCCCATAATTAATCACTTACTGTTCTAATCCCCCCCTTCCTTCACCCCCCCCACGACCTTCTAAGCCTCCTTGATTCCACCTGGTCTCAGACATGGTTCTTCCTTTCAGATGCATTAATATGTGGATATGATCTTAATGCTAATTAATGAACCTTCCAGAAAGCAGACCAACTTTATTCCAAACAGGTAAGAGCTGCCTTTTTCAAAAATAGACTGCTTTGATTACTTGGGTTTTCAAAGAATTCTTCTGGAAAAGGGGAATCCTAGAATCTAGAACACTGAATTCTAGCCCCTCAGAGCTAGAGCACTGATTGGAGTCATGAAGACCTTGGTTCAATTCTTGCCTCAGACACTTACTAAATACATGACCCTGGGTAAATCACTTAAACTCTCTAAGCATCACTTCCTGATCTGTAAAATGACAGGGTTGGACTCACTGAGATCCTTTTCAGCTCTAAATCTATGATCTAGTGAAAGGGGACCTAGCTCAAATGGTCGCTTGAAGCTGGAATGTCATCCTCTAACGACAGTAACTCCAATAAGGTATGAAAGCTTGAGGTTTAGGATGTTGAGTAGGTGAGAATGACAGAAATGGAATAACAAAGAAGATACTAAAAGTCACAAATGGTCAAAAATAAAGACTCCCCTTCTCCTCCCCTACCTCCTCTAGACACAATCTCTTCACACAGTGTGATATTATTCATCTGGGAAAAGGACCCATCATGAGCCAGTCAAGGATTCAGGATGAAAAGAGCTCTGAATTGAGAATCAGGAAGCCTAGGTTATAATTTGAGCTCTACCCCTGTTTGACTGTATGACTTTGGGCAAGTACCCCAAAAATTCTCTCTGGGCCTCAGTTTTCCTCCTCTGTAAATTGAAGGGGTTGGATTAGATGCTCTCCAAGGGCCCATCTGGCTCTTACATTCTATGTTCCAAGGTCCTTTCCAGTTGTGATATTCTGTTTTTTGACATCTATCTAGCTCTACTATTTTAAGACTTTGAAATGTGTATACATGCCCTGATTCTTGTTTCTAAACTTTTCTCTATCTCAGCAGGTCCTGTTCTCAGCTTGAGAAGTAGGTGGTGTCTGGGTGGAGTTGGACAGGGTCAGGGAGGAGTGGAAGAGGGTCCTGTGACAGAAGATCAGAACTTCCAAAACCCTCAGTTTATGGCCAGGGGAAAAAAGATGGTAGTCATCTGTACTGCATTTTCTCCTGAGATAAACTTCTCTTATAATTTTCTTCCTCTTTGAAGGACTTCAAGGTCAGAGACAAATTGCTGTATTTGGTGTCAGAAGAGATGAAATGTTTTGCATCTTCCAGGGTCCATCAAGTTCTTTTCCCTTGGATTTGGAGCCATTTTCCTTGCATGAATATTCCCTCTGGGAAATGTGTTTCTTCCCCCTGATTTCTCTTATAATAAATTTCCACTGTCTAAGCATTACTGGAATGGTCATTGCTTATACTGGTCAAGCTTTCTTAAGTTGGTAATAAATATTTTTTGTTTTTTGTTTTTTTTGTTGTTGTTTTTTTTGTTTTGTTTTGTTTTTGTCTTCTTTTTGGTTAGGCAATGGGGTTAAGTGACTTGCCCGGGGTCACACAGCTAGTAAGTGTTATATGTCTGAGGCCGCATTTGAACTCAGGTCTTCCTGAATCCAGGACTAGTGCTCTATCCACTGTGCCAACTAGCTGCCCCTAAGTTGGTAATAGTTGAGGCTAGTCATAGACATGTCTCAGGCAGACACTGAGCCCAGGGCACAGCACACAGAACATGCTTAGTTTTCTTCTCCTTGCTAGGTTTTGTTTGCAACTTAATGGCTACAGTCAATGCAGTTCCACATCTAGGAATTCTGGCACTGGAGGCAAATCTAGCTGGGGGTAGGGCAGGGAATAAGGGAGCATTGGTAGAGTGATCCCTTCTTATGAGGATAAGAAGGCCAGGAGGCCATGGGATTTGAGGAAGGTGAGGAACTGAGAGGATAGAGAGTGTCCAAAGGATATAGAAGCAGGAGTGGAGAAGACTGAGTCAAGTACTGAATTTATTGGGGAAGATTAAGAATGACTACCAGAAGTTTTAAAGAGGACAAGAACCAAGATATGGACAAAACTGAGTAAATTTTAAAGGAGAAGTGGTCACTGAGTGATGCTTGTAGAAAGAAAATCTGAAAGGAACACTGATAAAAAAGGATATACCAACTCTTCTTCCAGCTCCTCTTTCTCAGGGAATGTGAGAGAAGCATCCCACCCTTGGAGCAAGTGCCAAAAATATGGTATATTTGAAAGAAATCTAGTGACGAAAGGAAGATGAAAGGAATATGAGAAGAAATATAGAATTAGGGAGAATTTGTTTATTGTAGTTGAGGATTCAGAGGGCACAGTATAAAGGAAAGGGTGAAAAGGGTAAGTACTGGGGATGACTACATTTGATTTTAGGATAAAGGGCATGGGGATGGCAAATGGCTTCTCCTGCCTCAGTGGCTAACTTATACTTCCCCCAACTCCCAAATTCTTTCTCTTCTGTGTATCCTGGGTTACAAGTCCCCAGAACAGTTAGTGCGTCAATGGCTTGGCAAATCTTCCCAGAAGAAGGGTTTGATAGCCACAGGATATTGGAGGATGCAACCTAAGTCCTGGTGATCAAAAGCTTTGCCCAGGAGGAAGAGATATAAGGGGAAGGCAATGCACTTCCTGGCTGTCTTGCCCTAATTTCACCTCTGTATCATCCCTCCAAGTTGTGCCACCTTGAGTAAGTCACTTATTCTCTTCGTCTATTTCATTCCCTTCACAATGAGCTCCAGTGTCTCCCTATTACCTTTAAGATCTAATATTGAAGTCCATTGTTTGACATTTGAAGTTCTGTATAGCTTGACCCTTTCCTAGATTTCTAGCCCTCTTATACTTTACACCCCTCCACACACTCTGTGTTCCAGCTATACTGACCTACTTATAGTTCATCTGATAGGATACGCCATGTCCCATCTTTGTTCCTTGGCCTTGGCTGTCTCCCATACCTGCAATACTCTGTCCCTTCACTTCTGCCTCATCATTCTCTTGCCTTCCTTCAAAAGTACACTTAAATCTCACCTTCAGCAGACCTTTTCCAGTGCCTTATCCCTACCCCAGTGTCTTCCCTTCAGGTTACTTTTCACCTATTCTCTACATAGCTTGTATGTACTTAATCACTTATTTTTTTTTTCTCCTTCATTAAAATGTGTGGTCCTTGTGGAAAGGAGTTCATTTTTCTTTGTATCCTTAGCACTTATCAGACTTTCTGTCATATATTAAGCATTTAGTAAACCCAAATTAGCTGACTGACCATCCTTCCTTTTCCTTAAAAACAGCCTTGAAAGATAGCTCCATTAGGGAGCTAGAGGTCACCTGATTGTCTCCACTAGTCTTCCTCAACTAGAAAGGTAATGGTCAGTTCTATTTCTCAGGTTCCTCATCCTCCCTTGCTCTCCGTAGGTAGAGGAATGTTATCTGACTTCCAAGCACACACCTGGGAAACTTGGCTCACAACAATAAGAACACTGAATCTTCCCTCCATCTATTGGTCTTCAAAGTTTATAGCCATCTTTTGCTGGTCTGTCACTTTTCCTGAGGGCATCTGTACTGTGTAAACAAAGGTTGATTAGAAAAGATCCTTCTTTTTTTAATTAATTTATTTTGATTTATCAATAATCACTTCCATAAGCTTTGGAGTTTTAAATTTTTCTCCCTCTCCCTCTCACCCCTCCCCAAAACACTTGCAATCTGATATAGGTTATACATATACATTCCTATTACATATATTTTCACATTAGTGATATTGTAAGGAAGAATTAGTATCAATAGGAGGAATCATCAGAAAGAGGAAACAAAACAAAACAGATGGGAAAAAATAGCAAATAGTATGCTTCGATCTGCATTCAAACTCCATAGTTCTTTCTTTGGATATGGACAGCATTTTTCATCATTAGACCTTTGGAGATGTCTTAAATCCTTGCATTGCTGAGAAGTGCTAAGTCTATCAATATCAATCATTGCACAATGTGGCTGTTACTGTGTATAATGTTGTCCTGGTTCTGCTCACTTCACTCAGCATCAGTACATACAAGTCTTTCCAGGTTTTTCTGAAGTCCACCTGCTCATCATTTCTTATAGCATATAGTATTCCATTACATTCATATACCACAACTTGTTCAGTCATTCCCCAATTGATGGGCATTCCCTCAATTTCCAATTCTTTGCCACCACAAAAAGAGCTGCTATAAATATTTTTGTACATGTAGGTCCTTTTCTCATTTGTATGATCTCTTTGAGATACAGCCCTAGAAGTGCTATTGCTGGGTCAAAGGATATGCACATTTTTATAGCCGTTTGGGCATAGTTCCAAATTGCTCTCCAAAATGGTTGCATTATTTCACACCTCCACCAACAATGCATTAGTGTTCCAATTTTCCCACATCTTCTCCAACATTTATCATTTTCCTGTTTTGTCATGTAAGCCAATCTGATGGGTATGATGTGGTACCTCAGAGTTGTTTTGATTTGCATTTCTCTAATCAATAGTGATTTAGAGCATTTTTTTTCATATGACTATAGATGGCTTCACTTTCTTCATCTGAGAACTACCTGTTCATATCCTTTGATCATTTAAAAGATCCCTCTTTTTAAAGGGGAGGATGGTTAGAGATAGCTAAAGTGACTGACAAAAATCAAGGAGTATACCCTTGACTTTAAAGGAATTCTGCCAACCCCAGTGTCTCACCTCATGTGACCTACTAGAGTGGTATACTTGTAAAAGGCTCTTGTTCCCTTTGTCTGGCTCAGTATGAAACAGAATAGCCCCTAGAATATTGGGTCCAGCCAGGAGCATGCTGGTAAAAGTTTAACAATCAGCTCTCCAAAGGAAAAAAAAATGTATGCATGGCACAACTTCAAGTTTAATTTGTATTATCAGTATTTTCCTCATCACTTTATTAACTGTAGACAATAAACAACAAATCAAACCATGATTTGTAGCATTTGTCAATTTTGGAGGTATAAATGCTCTCAATTATAAGCCAATTGTCAAATGGCATCAAATCTTTCTCTGCCTTTCAGGCTCGACTTCCAGGATACAGAAGTACCTGAAGACACTGAACACTTCATTAATGATTGTTAATAATGAGGCCTAGATCTGTTACAATGAGAGGAACAGTATGGGAGGAGAGGAAGGGAAAGAGATTGACACATTGACAGGAACCATTGGGAATAGTCCCCTTTGGCAAGTAGGCCTTACACAGACAGTGGTATAAGAAGAAGGAATAAGAGAGAAGAGTGAACATTCAGTCTCTTTCTTAGTAACCTATTCTCAGTGTCCATTTCATTAGCTCATCATATCTTAGGGCTCAGATGTCTCATGCAGTTGTCTGGTTTCTGAAAACATCTCGTCTTGATGTACTAATCTGGTTTTTAAAAACCTCTCTTCTTAGGCATTCTGGAATGGACTTGTTCTTAGAGCAGCTTTTCCTGGCAGATCTGTTTCTCTGGTTCAGGTCACTTGCAGAGGTTCTTAGATGTTTCTGTTGAAATCTTTTGCAAAACAGATCTCAATACAATTTAGTAGAGCCACTTAAATTTTGTTTTGCCAAGACCTTTATCATGTGGTGGAAACTAGCTTAAACTTTGTGGCTCTAATACCATTAATCCATAGTTCACTTAAAACTTTGGAGAATTTAAGTTTTTACATTGTGCTTGCTTTTTCTATCTTTATGTAAACTCTGTGTCTGATTTAGACAGTGCCAACAAAAGGCTAAAGGAATAATCTTTTTAAAAAATCTGTGAGAATATGACTTGTCAAATGAGTCCTTCTGGTTAACAATTTAATATTTAACAAAGTAGACCTTTAAGCTAAGGTTAAGAGTGCTTTTCTAAATAGACATCAACTGCAATATCTTTTAATTTTTTAAGACTGGTATTCATTTATTTTATTCTTCACCTAGGATTCAAACCCTACAGAGAAAAACTTCAATTTTGCTACCTGTAACTTTCTTGTGATATAAGTTAGCAAATTGTTTTGTTGATATATTTAGGAAATTTAAATAATAACTGAGAAACTAGAACCTAACTTACCTTTTTAAACTGCTGGGTTTGTATGGAGGGTGAACAGTACAATTGTATATCTAAAATTGTGAACCCAATTTTGAGAACTTGTTATTGGAACATGCTCAAGGCTNTTTTAAACTGCTGGGTTTGTATGGAGGGTGAACAGTACAATTGTATATCTAAAATTGTGAATCCAATTTTGAGAACTTGTTATTGGAACATGCTCAAGGCCTGTATATCCCATTAGAATCATTTACATTTGACATATATAATCATCTGAACTTGTTGCTTTCTCAAAATTTTCAAAATTTTTTACTCCAATTAGTTCCCCCTTTAACAGGATGAATGACTCTTTTGTAAGTAGGTGACTTC